ATTACAATACAAATTCCCAATCCATCCTAGGGCTCTAATCCTACCCAAATCCTCAAGATCATATTTTATCTTTAACATCAAGAAATATCAAGGTTCGTCGAGAATTATCACATCAATATCAAGAACTTCTCTTCAACATCAAGATCACCAAGATTATCAAGAATGCACATAAATCATCTTATCAATCATCAAGAACATATCACAATTAACATAGAAGAATTTATCAAGACACAAGAATATAGATGGAGGCCAAAGAAAGAGATTATAGCGAAGAAAATAGGTTTTGTTGAGACATGGGTTACCTCTTAGCCTTAATTAATTCCTTGGCTATGAAGGGTCTTTCTTTAAGATTTCTCCTTTCTTGATTTCTCCTAAGGGGATTCTTGGAACTTCTTGTGTAGTGAGAGATTATTTGTGGTGTGAGTTCTAGGTGCCTCTTATGTCCCTATTTATATATCTAATAGTCCTATTTAGGATTTAAATGGTATGGGCTTAGCTAATTCTATTTCCTATAGGACTAAGGGTTGGATTTAGGGATAAGGCCCCGTGGACCATGGTGGACCCCTTTTTAGCTAATTAATGGATTTTAATTCCCTTTTTGAGAGTGAGTAGTTAATTAATTAATTTAGTTTAGGGGTCGTAACACGGGGTGTTACACCTTTCCTTTTTCTTTTTCTCTTCTTTTTCCAATTCTTTCATTTTCTTTTTTCCCCTTCCCTTTTCTTTTCATTTTACTCCTTCTTCTCTTTTTTCATTTTTCTAATTCTGTTTCATTTTTCCAAAAAACATAAAACATCAAGAAAATCGGAGCCTCAGTTCAATGTGGGTCATAATCCTCAAAGAACACCGAGGGGACATCATCATGAACAAGCAAAGCACGCACCCTCGGTGGTAAATCAAACAAGTTAAGAAAAATAAACTCCCCATCCTTATCCCCAACCCAATCTTCCAATGCAGCCATAGGGAGATTACCTTGCTGCAAACACTGAAGAACAGAATCAGAAGCACAGGAGCAAAGAAACCGAAGCCTTGACACTTCAGAGTAAAAAACCCAAGGAATAGGAATGGAGGAGTCAACATAACCCTTAAGCTCAGGCAATACAGACTCTAGGACCAAAGACCTAAAACCCTCGGCTAAGCACCATTCAAGACAATGGAACATCACACGGAAAAAATCCTGAAACCCACCGACTGCCGAAATTGCAAAGCCATAGCAGAAACCACCCCCCCCCCCCCCCCTCCCAATTACACACCAAGGCAGCAGTCCCACCCACAGACTCAGAGTATGAGAGATTGAGCTTTATGGAGCCATCCGGAGGGGGATCCCATCCAATAGCACGAACCACGCCACGCGGGGTGGTGGAATCTATATAGGACAGAATGACAGACCAGTTTGGCAGTAGAATGTGCTCCCTCGGCCACCGCCTAAAGAGACACTCTGCCACCCCTTTGGCAAGGCCATACATCACTCGAGGCACACTCGGTGGTCCTCTGCCATGCAAGCATGCGTTCCTGTGTTTCCATAACTCCCAAAGGATGAGATAAGGAAACCTACAAATAACAAAAGCAACAAGACGGTTATGTGAAACCACCCGCCTCCACCCAGTCAACAGCGTCCGTAAACCCCGATGACTGAATCGCAGGCCGAGCGATCCCAAAAAAAATCCCCATACAGCCCTGGCAATGTCCCCCGCATAAAAGATGTGATGAATGGTCTCCCTAGCAAGGTTACTGCAGCATCAGCAGCTGGAAACAATTAGGCCCCCAAATCTAGCCATGGCATCATCAGTGGGCAAACGGCCCCATAATACATGCCAAACGAGAAAGGACACCTTAAAGGGCAAGTGCTTATGCCAACATGCACTCAAAAGAGGATCATAATTCACCGGTTCAGGTCTTAATAATGATTTCGCAGAAGAAAAAGAAAACAAACCGTCCGTAGCACCCACCAAATAGGAATGTCAGCCACTCGTTGGCCCAGACAGGACATGTCCGCCTCCAACCCGACTGGTAGCAGGTCATCATAGGCCGACTAGTCCAATTCGCCGTCCTAGATGTAGTCAGACAACAAATCACCAGAGCTTTCCACCCTTGGGAAGGGGTAAAGGCTCCCTAGCGGGCCAAGTCCAGACCAGTTATCCCACCAGAGGTTAACATCCCTGTGAGTCAGGCGCCATCCCAAGACTGCCTCCACCTCATTCCTGACGCTGAGCATCCGCTTCCAAGTGTGTGAGTCGGTACTTCGCACTGATTTCGCCACCGGGTGAACTCGACAGCAGTACTTAGTAGTCATGAAACTTCCCCACAGTGAATACACCTTGCGAAAGTTCCACCAAAGCTTTGCACTTGATGCACGCACCATCAGGTCAAGGTCAAGGAAACCCACACCACCCTCTTTTTTAGGGAGGGAGAGTGTTTTCCATGATGTTCAATTGTAGCGTGCACCTCCCCACTGCCGCCAAAAGAAGCTCGCGAAGCACCGCTCAAGATCCCAGAAAACCTACTTAGGATGAGCGCAAGCTACAAAGAGATGTAAAGGGATAGCCTGCAAAACAAAAGTAATAAGAACTGCTCCCCCCCCCCCCCCCCCCCTTAGATAGCAACCGACGTTGCCACCCAAGGCACTTAGCCTTCACCTTGTCCACCACAGATGAAAAATAAACACACTTCTTCCTCACCACATAAATAGGACACCCAAGATAAGTAAAGGGGATGGGCCTATGAATGAATCTATTGATATCCCAAATCCTACGAATAACCCGACCCGAAGTGTCAGGATGCATATAAAAAGCACTCTTAGGTAAACTGATCATTTGACCTGAAATCTCCTCATATTGTTTTAGAGCTCGTATGAGTTTGCAGATTGCCCCCATGCCTCCCAGTACTAAAAATAATAACATCATCAGCGTAAGCTAGATGATGAATATGAGGCGTACCAGCAGTGTGACACCCCGTAAATCTAAATGCTAATTGGGATTAATTAAGGAATTAATCCTAGCCTTCCTTGGTAATTTCTTCCTAAAATCCTGAAATTTCATAGTTGAAGGACTAGAAATAGACTAGTCTTCTTGGTGTACCTTGTGCCTTGTGTGTTGTACCTCAATCCCTTATTCATCCAAACCTTAGTAAGGGTAACTTGGTCTTTTCACTAGTGAGAGGTGCTCATGTTTACCTAGCAAGACCTCTTGTCTTCATTCCATGCTAGCCAAAGTTCTAAAAACTCTCCAACCTCTCTCTAAAAGAATCCTAGCTTGCTCTCCAAGTCAGAAAGGGAACTTCTAAGCTTTGCATAGTCTTCCACCAAGGTTCCAACTTTCTAACATTACAAGGCTAGGAATGGTAAGATTTATCCTTCCCTACCTTTTCCTTAAAAGATGCCTCTATCTTTTCTCTAAATCTTTCTTCTACCTTGTGGGTTTTGGGAGTTTGTAGAAGATCTAGTGGTGGGTGAAGTGCTAGGTTGATCTAGAGGAGCTTTGGTCTTGCTTTGAGGTTGAAGAAGGTGTTCTTGGTCTACAAGAGATAACCCATGCTACACAAAACCTATTTTCACTTGATAATAATGATTGTTGGCTTCTATGTGACATTCTTGATGTGTTTGAGTGATTGATGCATGATCTTGTGATAATGCATTTTTAGAGCTTTTATTTAGGGTTCTTGAATGCTATTGTATGAGCTATTCATAGGTTCAAGTCATATCTTTTTGTTGTGTGGAAGATTTGGGGTCATTTGGACTTGAACTTGGCCTTAAAAGTGCAAAATCGTGAATGCTGAATTTTGGGTGCAGGGTGTACCTGCGGGTGGAGGTCCACCCGTGGCCCCACCCGCGGGGAACATGTTTGGGGATTGCGGGGATTTGTTCCCTGTGATCCCTTCTTCTTGGTATTTGATGTTTTTGTTAGGAATATTATATTATTGGTACATTTAATGTAACACTAGACTTAGTCTTATTGTATTTGATTTAGTCTTGTAACCTCTAGCTATTGTACAGGGTTAGTTAGATTAGTTCTCTATCTCTTATCTATCTCTGTAACAATCAATTCTGATTCAACGAGAATTATTTACTCATATGGTATCAGCTAGCTAGGTGTTCCCTATTCTCTCTCCCCTTTCGAAATCATGTCGTCGAACTCCAGTGAGAGAACCGTTACTGCCGATACCCACCCTTCTCCGGCCACCCCAAATACTCTATCCATGGCACACCACTTTGTGTCAATGAAGCTCACCACCAAAAATTACCTATTTTGGCACACTCAGTTGGTGCCGTTTCCTGAGAGCGTCGGAACAGACATGTTGCTGAAAACGGGCTCGCTCTACTCGCAGAAAGCTCAGTACCCATACAACATTGGGCTTCTGCCTTTGAAACTGCCTCATTTCTAATTAATTATCTACCATCATATGCAATAAAAAATGTCAGTCCCTACGAGTTTGTCTATAACAAAACACCTCCATACACCTTTCTTCGGGTCTTCGGGTGCAAGTGTTACCCCTATCTGAGGACATACAATCGCCATAAGATAGAGTATCGCTCCGCACCCTGCGTCTTCCTAGGTTGCCCAACGTCCTATAGGGGTTATCGGTGCATGGACCTAATATCTGGAAAGACCTTCATCTGTCGCCATGTTCGGTTTGATGAGAGTGTTTTTCCCTATGCAACAGGTGCACAAAACAAGGTGGGGTCGGTAAACTCACATAATACCACGCCTTGGGGGTCGGGGCCCTTAGTACCTCATGAGCCACCACCGATCCCGCTAGATGAACCTCCCATAGCAGTTCATGTGCCACCCATGGCTATCCAGGATCATTAAGGGGCTACCACGGTCCCGGTTCGCGCACCTCGGGCTCGGGCACGTGTTCGGGAACAGCCTCAAGAAAGGGGACATGTCATGCGTCTCTGCCACATGACACGGGGCACGGATGAGCCCTTTCAAGCTCTCACTGCCACCGTGGACCCTACGTGTTACAGCCAAGCAGTTGGCCACCCGCACTGGCGGGACGCCATGGATCAGGAGTTCAATGCCCTTCTACATAATAACACCTGGAGTCTCATCCCGGCCAAACCTGGCATGAATATAGTTGGGTGTAAATGGGTTTACAGCACCAAACGTAAGGCTGACGGGACGGTAGACCGGCACAAGGCCCGCTTGGTTGCTAAGGGGTTTAATCAAGTAGCTGGTGAGAACTTCTTTTGAGACATTTAGTCCCGTTGTCAAACCGACTACGGTGCGTATTTTGCTCTCTCTTGCTGTCTCTCGTGGGTGGACTCTGCGGTAGCTAGATGTCCATAACGCCTTTCTAAATGGGCATCTAACAGAGACTGTCTACATTCGTCAACCGCCCGGTTATGAAGATCCGGTACACCCAGACTATGTTTGCCATCTACAGCGGTCTCTATACGACCTAAAGCAAGCCCCAAGGCCTGGTTTCATCGTCTACATGAGTTTCTCCTATCAACGGGTTTTGTAGCTTCTAAAACTGATGTGTCTCTCTTCTATTATACTTCAGGTGCCTCACGTATCTATCTCCTGGTATATGTAGATGATATTATTATGATGGGCAATGATACAGCTTTGTTGACCACTCTGCTTGGCCGTCTATCGGTGGCCTTTAAGATTCGAGACCTAGGGACTCCGACTTTTTTCCTCGGTATTGAGACAATATCTGTTGATGGTGGCTTGTTGTTATCACAACGTCGATATATGGACGACATCCTTACCCGTGCTGGCATGGTGGACTACAAGTCTCTCTCCACTCCAGCAGCAATCACTAAAGCCGCATCTCCATCTACGGATCCTTATGAGAACCCTACGCAATACCGTAGGCCGGCCAGGGCTCTACAGTATCTCACCATCACTCGGCCGGACCTATCTTATGTTGTAAACAGGCTATGTCAGTTCATGCACGCTCCTAGAGACGAGCACTGGGGCATGCTCAAGCGGGTTCTACGATATGTGAAGGGTACGCTCATCTATGGCCTACAGCTAACAACTTCTCCGTCGTCTGACGTACACGCCTACTCAGACTCCGACTGGGCCGGGTGTCCCATAGATAGGAAGTCTACTAGTGGGTATGCTGTTTTCCTTGGCACGAATCTTGTATCGTGGGTGTCACGCAAGCAGCGAACTGTCGCTAGGTCGTCTACTGAAGCCGAGTCTAAGGGCTTGGCTGATGTTGCTGTAACACCCTAGATTTTCAAGACATTTAAAACTTATAATAAAGGTAGAATCTTATTAAATCCCAAGATATAAATACAAGCGTTCGGGGTGCTATGCCACACCTGGGCTAGAGAACCCAAGTGCACAGGCTAACTAACTAATATCCTCAAAGCGTAAATACGTAAACGTGGCACGCAGGCCAAAAAGGGAAACTATCTACTTCTAAGTTCTAGCGCACTCCAGTGACTTAATCTTCTGTGCCTGAAAGCCAAATATATCTGTTCAGCGAGAGATGCTGGTAACCCACTCCAACGCGTTGAAATACAATACATATAGAGATATACATAGATATATGAAAACCATTTTGAGCATGAAGATATGTCCTACGAACTCTAGCTTTAAAACCGGGAATGACTCGACAGATAAGGCCAGACACAAGCAACAGTTATAACAAGCATATGCAGTTCACAACAAATAAGGCAGATAAGGCAAAGCATAAACAATAATCACAACCCAACATAGACAATCCCCAACATAAATCCCATAGTCACATCCCCAAGACACTTATAATCACAACTCATCCATATCACAACACATAGCACACTTTGTTGGCGCCACAGGACCAATCGCATGCCCATACATGAGGGTCAGCGCGTATAGCTCTGACACGGCCCCGCAGCACCCTGCCCCGTATCGCAACACGGAGGGGTCGATCGCAACCGACCGATGAACCGCAGCTCATCATAGTGTTTGATCGCAACCAAACAGTGGACCGCAGCCCAAGAGAATGTCATCTGACCGCAGCCAGGAAAGAGGACGAACCGCAGCTCGTATAGAAACGTTTGATCGCAACCAAACGGTGGACCGCAGCCCAAGAGTATCAATCTGACCGCAGCCAGCTTCTGAACTGCAACTCAGGATAACCAATCCGATCGCAACCGAATTGGGGTAAAACACACACATAACACATAGCAAGCACATGCAACCCATATTACACATTGGGAAGGGGGAGAAAGCGCATAACAAAACCTATGCGTGATCCATCACATACTAAGAATAGTCCTAAGGGGTTCATACTTCTTCCACCTAGGTCAACGGGATACCAATTCAACTAGCATGCAATATAATAGACTCATAAACCTACGAACGGTACCCGAAACATCAAACTAGACATAGGCACGATAAACGGAGTCCGTTGGGACACCACGGGGAACAGGGGAACATCAAACGGGGAAGCCGGGATCCCAAGGTGGGATAATTTCCAGCGGGTAGCCGGTGGGTGGGGGCCACCCACCGGCTGCCCGCCAGATAATACTGTTCCGGGCAGCGGGTCGCCGGCGGGTAGCTGCCCGCCCGCCGGCCACCCGCTGCCGGGCGGTGTTTCACGGCCGTGGGTAGGTGGCGGGTCCCCTACCCCCCACTGACTCTTTTCACACACTTTACGCCCCGGGAACCGTTGTGGAACCCGAAACCATGCTTAGACACTTTACAACGCAATTAACGACAACACGTAGACAATTAACGAATCAAATACAAGAAACGAACAGCACATAACCTATCATGCTTTTCTAAATATAATCAACACCCAAACATGCGATTTCCCCACCCGATAATCCAAGAATAAGATCATACGATACAACCTAGGGTTCTAATCACTTTTATATCAACAAGAATACGGTTCGTCTTTTAATTGCAAGATTCGGTAAGAATAACACATAAACATCAAGAGCATCACACAATTATCAAGAACAACACATAATCATCAAGAACTCCATATAATCATCAAGAATCTCCCAATATCAAGATTATCAAGATCCCCCATGGGATCGTCACAGCAATTACCAATAATAATCATCATAACTTGCCAATACACAATAATATGGGGAAACCCTAAGGGGGAATTATAACTATGAAAATAGGTTTTGTTGAGACATGGGTTACCTCTTAGCCTTAATTAATTCCTTGGCTATGAAGGATCTTTCTTTAAGCTTTCTTGATTTCTTGATTTCTCCTAAGGGGATTCTTGGAACTCTTTGGGTGGTGAGAGATTATTGTGGTGGGGATTCTAGGTGCCTCCTAAGTTCCCTATTTATATATTTAAGACTCCTAGTTAGGGCCTGAATGGTATGGGTTTACTAATTCTATTCCTTATAGGGCTAGGGCTTGTTTTAGGGATAAGGGTCCATGGTCCATAGTGGACCATATTAATTAAAGAGGATCCTAATCATAATCTGAATAGTAAAAGGCCTACTTCCTTTATTCCTAACAGGCTTAAGATTCTTATTCGGGCAAGGGTCCACGGTTCATGGTGGACCTTACTAATTAATTAAAGGTAAACCTAACATAATTAAATCATATTTAATTATTATTAACGGGATTAATTAAATAATTAATTCGGGATTGAAGGCCGTAACACGGGGTGTTACACTCTCCCCCCCTTACGAGAAGCTTCGTCCCCGAAGCTTGGAAATCATTGCAGGGTTAACGAGTCAAGAGAAGAACCGTGGTCCTATAGAGAAGGTATTCCACGAGGAAATTGTATACTTGCACGCCTATGTGTGTTGGGTTTTTGGGAACGATTAGGTTTACAGGGCTAAGAGAGTGGGTTTCAAACTTGAGGACACGGTGAATTCAGGAATTAGGATCGAGTTTTCGAGGTTGCAACTTAAGTTGTGAGGCTGCCACTTGTATGGAATCGTTAAAACATGGGATTGAGAATGGGGTCTGAAGGGTAGAAAGGGTTTTGAAATAAGGAAGGGGCCGATTTTCCGAGGGAGGGAAAGGAATTCGGCTAGGATGGGTTAAGGTTTCTCGATCCCAAGTGAATAATCTGGTTAGATGCTTTGATCACGATGCGCCGAAGAGCTGATGATCCTCCTTCCTTGTTGTTGGTGCTTGCTTGACTTTAAGATCCTTGTTAGACCTTGCTTCCCAGGCTAAGGTTTCATCCTTCTCTTCTTTCTTGAGGGAATTTCCCGTGGTGATTCAACACTTACTTCTTTAATGCGCCCAAGGTCTTGACCGAGTTGGGTCAACCAAGCCAATCTCTTAGGGCGCACTTCCCAAATTCTTCCCAAAGTCTCTTGGGAGTCGATGGACTTTGGGTTGAATTTCTCTTCTTATTGAATTTCATCTCCTCATTAGTGGATGAAATTCTTAGTAAGACTTCATGTCTTACCCGAGGTTCGGCATTGTTGTGCCCTGTTTGTGTTATTTTTAATGATGAAGGTGTCCTTGCGTGCCCTTTTTCTTTTAAAGCGCAGTCGGTTACCAAATCTCGTTGTGGGATGACTCGGCGACTTTACGAGTCACCTCATTTCCTTGTGGGTCCTTAATGACCCTTTGAAGTCTTGGCGCGAATGTGTTCTTCACCCTTTTGCTTAGCACCATGGGCTACGTAGTTCTTGATTCCATACAACTTGTAAGGAGTCCTCTTATTTGCTCGAACGATGTCCATGGTTTGGAGGAGTCCCGGTCCCTCCTTAGCATTTTGACTTTTAAGGTTTTCGTGGGTTCTTAGTACGAGTTCCCAACTCGCCTCCTTGGTTTGCGCAATCCTTTACGCCAAGCATCCCTAGTACACCTGCAGCTGAGGTCACATGGGTTATGTCGCTTCTTCGGGAACTGGGCCTGCACTCTAGTACACCCGCAACTCTGTGGTGCGACAATTTAGGAGCCACTTACATGTGTGCGAATCCAGTGTTTCACGCTTGGACCAAACATGTAGAGATTGATTACCATTTTGTACGGGATAAGGTGGCAACTGGGGAGTTTACAGTCAATTTTGTGTCTACGAAGGATCAGCTGGCCAACATATTCACCAAACCTCTTGCTTCTGCTCACTTCGCTTCTTTGAGGGACAAGCTGAATGTTGTTTCTTCACCACCTTCAGCTTGAGGGGGTGTGTTAGGAATATAATATTATTGGTACATTTAATGTAACACTAGACTTAGTCTTATTGTATTTGATTTAGTTTTGTAACCTTTAGCTATTGTACAGGGTTAGTTAGATTAGTTCTCTATCTCTTATCTATCTCTGTAATAATCAATTCGGATTCAACGAGAATTATTCACTCATCGTTTTGACCTCCCATTGTTGGATTATTGAGTTTTTGTGAGTCTTCTTGATGTTTCGTATGTCTAGAACGATGAGTTAGGAATCCATGTTAGGATTTGGTGTCTTGAATCGTGCTTATGATCCAACCTTGTGATTTGTTGGATTGATGTTGAGTCTTTGTGGTTCATTGGAACTATTTTGGTTTACCCGTTCGATATGCATGCTAGTCTTGGTGTCATTGATGCTAGTATGTGTTGTTTGTCCATTTCTATTGAGGATTGGCAACTCGTGTTGCCAATCATGTTGATGTTGGATTGAGGTCCATTGTTGTTGTTGAGTATCGTTTCATGTCCTTCATTGAAACCCCTTGATTGAATCCCTTGATGTGATCCCGTGTGTATGATTATTCCTTGATTAAGTTATTGTTGAGCTTATCCGTTGTTGTACACACTTTGTGTGGAATCTAGGTGTTGTTGTGTCTCTAGATTCCGTGTGTTTTGACTCTTGTTGGGATGATGGATTGATGTGATGAGATGTTTGAGCTGGTAAAGTGGACAGTGTGGGGACTTATGTGTGAACGGACCGGTAGTGAAGTTCTGGATGGCCGTTTGGTTACTTGTGACTTGTGGGCAACATGGGAAAACTTATCCCCGTTGCCAGAGATGGTAGCTAACCCATTGAGCTTGGAATCTCAACAGGGGGTGTATACACTTAAATTTATTAGCTCTGTTTCCATTGGGCTGCGGTCCTTGTCATTGCGATGACACTATGCATGTGATCCGGGTCGTTGCGATGACTACGTGATACATGTTTGTTGATGATTTGGAGCCCTCCATACTGATCCACTATGAATCGAGCCGTGGTGTTGACTCCATGGTATATGAACTTGAAACTGTGAATCTTGTGACAAGTAGTTGTCACTGTGGCATGTAGTTGCCAATGTGTGTATGTGTTTCTTTGCTATTGAGCATGTCTTGATGTATTCTACTTTGTGATCAGTAGAATACATCTCGAGTTGTATTGGTTACAGTTGGTATTCTTGTCTTGTTGTTGTCGTAAGGATGTTGACTTCCTTTTCCTTTTGAGAGTGTGAATGAGTCCTTGTAGTTGACTTCTCTCTATGGCTTTTGAAATGATATATACTGTATTCCCAGTCTCAAATGGTTTTGACTTATACTTATCTATATATGTTATTTAACGCGTGTTGATGGGTTACCAGCAATGTTCGCTGACCGGGTGTCATCCCCTATCTTTTTGTTGCTTTACAGGTTCTGAGTAGCATCTTGGAGAGCGCGCTAGCAGATCGTTAGTTAGTGTAGCTCCTTGTGGCTTGTTTTTGTTAGAATTTTGGCCTGTGAGCCGTGGATTTTATAAGTATGACTATGACGTTTTGTTTAGACTTAGCTTGTGCACCTATAGATGTGTAGGTGTGGCATAACATCTCCCATACTTGTTTATTAGCTTCCGCTTAATTTAATCTAAATGAGTAGACTTTATCTCTTCTTTACGCTTTAATTGGTTTTAAAAGTTGATGAAAATTGAGGGTGTTACAAGCAGGCTGTGAGAATCTAGGGACACCCTCGTCCAAATGGACCCGAGCAAGGTACATAGAAAGGATCTCAGCAGCAATGATAAAAAGTCTAGGGGAAAGTGGGTCCCCTTGCCTCAGCCCTCGGGACGAGGTGAAGAAACCTTCTTTAACCCCGTTGACAATCACAGAGTACCACACATTTGAGACTGCACGATAGACCAAGTCAATCCAGACCTCAGAAAAACCCATCCTACGCATTACCGAAACAAGGAAAAACCAGGAAACCCGGTCATAGGCCTTAGTCATGTCTAGCTTCAGCACTACATCCTGATTACCTAACTTTATACCATGGCACATCTCAGAGGCAAGTAAAATATTATCAGTGATTGAGCGCCCCGAGACAAAACCACTTTGGTAAGGGGACAACAATCTAGGGAGAACAGAAGCCAATCTGATCACCATTAACTTAGTGACAATTTTACTGCTAAAGTTGCACAAGCTAATGGGCCTATAATCAGCAAATGTCTCCGGGTTGGCGTTCTTGGGCAAAATCACAATGGAGGTGTGAGTAATAGACCTGGTGAACTTTCTACCAAGGAAGTAACTCTTGACCATATTAACCACATCCCCCTTAACAATACCCCAACAAGATTTATAAAATGCCCCAGAAAACCCGTCAGGTCCTGCAGGCTGCAGCACTAAGAGAATTCATGACAAACACAACATTTTTAACCGCATCCACCTTAGGGATAGCAATAAGCATAGCATTAGCTATATCATTAACCAAACACGGCACACAATCTAGTTTAGACAGATCAAAAGTACCTGCCTCTGCGGTGAACAGACCCTCAAAAAAGGATCCAGCATTTTGTGTTATCCCTTATCTATCTTCAATCCAATGTCCTGTGTCATCTTTTACCTTATGAATATAGAGTTTCCTCCTTCGTTCTTTTACCATCGAGCGGAAGAACTTGGAGTTCCTATCCCCCTCCTGGACGGCCACCACGTGAGCCTTTTGCTGCCAGTATTCTTCCTCGATAGAAACCTGTCTCTGCAGAAGAACCACACTTTCGTTATAGTCAATGAGTGCCCTATCGTCATTAGGATTCTGTTGCAACACCTCTTCAAGCGCATGTACCTTGTCCTCCAGTTCCTGCAGCTTAGAAAAAATATTACCAAAGGTTTCCCTACTCCCAAGGAATAAGGACCTTTTTTTAACTTGGAAAGCTTAGTAGCCAAGACATACATTGGGGCTCCCTCAACAGGAGCTTCCCAACTTTCTCTAACCACAAGCTAAAAATCCTCATGTTTGGTCCACACATTAAGAAAATTAAAATGTTTTGGAACGGGTTGAGCATATATGACTTCTGAAGTAACAAGTAACGGACAATGGTCAGACGTGGTCCTAGACAAATGTTGAATAGATGTCGTGAATATCGATTCCCACTCCGAGGTGTAAAGAAATCGGTCCAAGCGCATCCAAATAGCAGCGTCCTTACGCCTCCCATTCCACGAAGTGTTTGGGGAGCCGTAGGCATAAGATTCAATCAGATCACGCGTACTGACACACTCTCGAATATCAGTAGTCTTCCTATGAGGATAAGGAAGACCCCCTTTTTTCTCGTCCACATTTAGCAAGCAGTTAAAATCACCTACCACAGACCAAGGAACGCCAGAAGGGATCTTATTTGAGACCGAGAGTAGCTCAGCCCATAAAGGAACCCTTAAGCGGTCCCTAGTTTTAGCATACACAAAAGAAAGCCAGAAAGCAAAAGGAATAGTAGCATGACCACATGAAACAGATACAGATTTATCAGATTCATATTCAAACGTCAAAGCCAGGTCAGAGTTCCAAAAAAGCCACAACTTATCATTAACCCCTGCAAAAGTATAGTCAAAGCCAAGCCGTAGCCTAAAGGTATCTAACCTATCAGTAGCACAAAACGGTTCAAGGAGGCATAGAATAAAAGGACTGTGTTTTCTGAGTAACAGATGCAATCGCTGAAAAGAGCCTCGCGAGGCAACACCCCGCACGTTCCAAACTAGGAATCACATCATCAAAAAGAGGGGGATTGAAAAGAGATAGGCGTGCCAAAGGCCGCACTACTCTGCTCCCGCTGTACCTGAGATGTAGTGTACTTGCCACCAAAGGGCACGCGTGTGGTACCTTGAGGTGAAAGAACTAATGTAGGACTTTCCTATAAATTCACATCTTGAAGAAAACTGCCACTGCCAGCACACCAGAGCCTTTAATAAGAAATCCATGGGACAAATTCTGTGACGCTCTGTCAGAGAACCTGATCAATCAGGCCTTCATTCTTCAAACCCTGACAAACTCTAAAACTGAAAACCTATCTAACCTGTCGTAATAATTTTACCAATTACATGTTTGGGGTTTTAAACTTAAAAAACTAACACCCCTCATTAAATCTTTCACTACTCTCTAGTCCATCTCGAAACATTTAGCCCCCTACTCTGTCGCGTGGTTGCCATAGTTTTTTTTATTTTTAATACGAGAGCGATAGAGCGATACCAGCTCCTCCAAACCCTTGCCAACCTCGACTGCCATAAGTGCATATACGAATTATTGACTGCCATAAGTGCAAGTAGTTTATAATGCAAGTAAGTGCTTAAGTAACATTGTTGACTGCCATAAAGGCAATTGAATCAGGATCCATGTAGATTCTCTTAAATCTCCTTTATTATTCATGGTCACTCCCTTTCTTCAGGAATTTTTATGCCACTATGGTGTAATACCAAGCTAAATTGCTCCCAACTCCCACAGAATACTGGTGTGTTTCCAAAAAAAATCTATGCCCCGCATCAAATCCCTTGTACTCTTGAGTTTTTTTTTTTTTTTTTTTTTTTTCCTGTCAAGGATGGGGGGAGGGGGGGTATTTTAGTTATTCAATCAAAGGTATTGAACTGTAGCATTTTTCACCTTCTCATAAACAACATGGGGTGGAAAACGCTTTTTTTTTTGTTAGACATGATTGGGTTTTGAGGAATACCTACCTGAGCCTATCGGCAGCTTTTAAATCTTACGCGGAGGCCAATTTGGTAGGCTTCTATGATTATATTGAAATCTCTAGAGCGTACACTGTCGCTAATTTAGAAGAGCATTTTTATGATCAAGAGGAAAAAAAATACATCCCTAAGGCGAATGAGGTAACAATATGGGTAACATCAAGTTAGACCACGTGAGTTCGTTCAGGTCTAGGTGTGACACCCCGTAGACTAGTAGTTAAGAGTTTATATTGAATGCTATTTCTTTCATTGTTTGGTGTTTATATCACGTGAGTGAATATTCACTTAGGTTAGAGATTACGAGAGTAACTCTTTCCCTTGTTTGCATTATCACAGTTTAAACCCAGATTTAATATTGTTCTTAAGATTGGCAGTAGGTGATTTAATACTTGAATAACAAGAATCCCATTCTCTCTCTAATGTTTTCACAAACCTGCTACTTTGCTTTTAATTAGTTTAAAATTAATCAACCATCCATGCTATTCATTAGGATTAGCTTCACAAGAATAAATTAGTAGCTAGTGCTTAATACGCCCCACTTCCTAGTGAATCGATAACCCGATACTCCGGGTAATTATTTGTTTGAGAAATATACTGCAATCAGCTTCGTACTCGACTTCATTGTTGGTAGGTGAGAACGCGAATATAATAGTGCATGATAAAGTTTGAATCCCTCCAGGGTCATCGACCCCCAGGTTCATATAAGAACCACTTCCGAGGTGAGAACTTGTGGATGAATCCAAATCATCGATCTGCAAGATTGATGGATAGGAAATCAAGTAAAAATGAGAGGGGTCATTTCATAAATATTACACAGTTTTAAAATTTGTAATATTTATGAAAACGCCCAGATCTTTTTTCCTTTTTCTTTTTCTTTTTTCTCTTCATTTTCAACCGTTTGATCTATTAGATTGATGGTTTAAATTTACCCGTGATGCATGGTTATATATATATATATATATATATATATATATATATATATATATATATATATATATATATATATATATATATATATATATATATATGTATGTATGTATGTATGTATGTATGTATGTATGTATGTATGTATGTATGTATGTATGTATGTACGTACGTACGTACGTACGTACGTATGTATGTATGATGATCATAAAATATGTAGTCATACTATATCTCTACTTAATTTTTTTTAAAATCAAATGAAAGACATGCATATCCCTAAATTTAGTATTAATTAAGCAAGAAATTAAAAAAGATTTAACTTCGAATCTTCATGTTATTCGATAAAAAAAATAAAAAATTACTCAACTCAAAAATAATAATAATAATAATAACCGTACATTTGAGGAACGTATGGAGTACAAAATATATAAAATAATAAATGTATATTTACATTATCACTTTAAACCTTTAATTAGCACGACACATATCTTTTAACAGTTATTATTTTATTTTTTTCATGAATTGTGTATGAGTAATTAGGTCTCTGGAATCAATTAAAGGCATATGCAATGACATCCAACTATGGAGCTATTACGTACGTTTGGCTTCTAGCTATTAACTTTATAAGTCATTAAAAAAAAAAAAAAAAAAAAAAAAAAAAAAAAACCTTTATAAGTCAAGATGCCAATTCTTACCATCAAGATATCATCATTGCCCTATCTTATAAACAGTGTTTTATCATTATTATTTACTTTATTTAAATGTGTTGTCATTTATTGTAATTATAATTAATATATATATATATATATATATATATATATATATATTTTGTTTTTTTAGGGATCCACTGCTGGAAATCATGAAATTTCCGACCACCTGAAAGTGATCTTAAATCAAGTCGAAAGTCTTGGTCTGACCATTTTTGGTATCCGAAAAAATCTTTGTTACTATTTCCAACCACTTTTTACTTTCGACTTGATTTAAGATCACTTTCAGGTAGTCAAAAATTACATAATTTCAAGCAGTGATATAATTATATTTGTTAAATATTCATTAATTACGATAATAATTTAATAATTGAATATTATATATATATATATATATATATATATATATATATATATATATATATATATATATATATATATATATATATATATATATATATTACAGGGACGGAGCCAAAGGGGGCAGTGGAGGCCGCTGCCCCTCCCCCACCCCCTCACCTCACCCCCCACCCCGCCATATATAGTCTTTGTATGTATATATGTATATATAGTACATGTTTTAGTATTAAAAAAAGGAAAAAAAAAAAAAAAAAAAAAAACTAAATGTCAATAAAAAGTAAGTTAGATTAGTTAGTAGAGTATATGTTTTGTAATCGTAAAGGTCAAGGGTTCAAATCTTAGCATCAATGTGTTTTCTATTCATCAAATTAATTATGTTTCATATTTTATTATGAATATTTTTATAAAGTTTCGATGTGTTTTATTTTTCGTCCATATCCAACAATATTTACAACTATATTTCTTAGGTAATTTATTTGTTTATTTTTAAATTATCTGTTTTGTTTTAATGTTTCACCTTTATTAGAAAAATTTTCTGGATTCATCAGTAATTTTTCGCCCCCCCCCCCCCCCCCCTCCCCCCCCAATAGAATTTCTGGTTCCGTCCATATATATATATATATATATATATATATATATATATATATATATATATATATATATATATATATATATATATATATATATATATATATATATATATATATATAGGGTCCGGATCAGGTGAGGACCTAATCTTAGGTGAGGACATGAGGACTAATCCAGACCATTAAATCAGAATGATGTATGATTGAGATTAAAAGAAACAAATCACACGGATTAAGAAAACAAATCCCTTTAAAATATTAAAATATATAAATTTAGGGCAAATCAGTCTTATTAAAAAATGTGCATTCCTATACAAAATGTTGTGCATTCCTATACTGAGTGTTGTGCATCAATAACTTCATTGTTGTGCATTCAAACCCCGCCAAAAAATCATACAGTGAACATCCAATGTTCTACGATGCATTGAACTATGTGCTATAATGCACAACTCCCTAGCCTATAGTGCACAACTTACAACATTAGGTTGCACAATCAGCACACACGAATGCACAATCGTACTACCCAGGCATTTATACATATGCACGACAATCCAAATATAGACAATATTATACTCAAAAGAACAAGCGAAAAAAAAATAAAAAATACTGATTAGTTTGCATGGGCGAACACTCAATCAATGATGAAGAAATCGCGGCTCCAAATTGCAACGGTGATGATCCAAGAAAATAAGAAACCAATTTGGCCAATGATTATACATGCGTTCACACTTAAAAAAAAATAGAAAAAGACACTATTATCCCACTTTAACAAAAAAGATCAATCCATGTCATCTCAAGAACTCAAATCTGGACCATCCAAATAAAAAAATAAACGCACAAGATTAGTCCTCACGTCCTCACCTGATCCGGATTCTATATAGGGTTGCATTCAAATACAAACCCCTTAAAATACAAATTCCCCTTAAAATACAAACTTGAGCTCATGCACACATTCACATACTTACATGCACACAGGGCGCACTGCCAACAATTTCTGGGATTAGCTCGTGCACACATTAACATACTTACATGCACACAGCGCGCAGGAGGAAAAATCACAATCATCCATCAAAGCTCGTGCACACATTAACATACTTACATGCACACAACGCGTAGGAGGAAAAAATCACAACCATCCATCAAATCCCGTGCACACATTAACATGCTTGCATGCACACTGGGCACACTGCCAACAAAATCTGGTATTAACTCGTGCACACATTAACATACTTACATGCACACAGTTTATATTTTAAGGGGAGTTTGTATTTGAAAATAATCCTATATATATATATATATATATATATATATATATATATATA